TTTCTCAAAACCACATAAAATCGTATTATAACATCGATAGAACCAAAATATAAAATGAAACATTAAAATTAAGATGTATCTCGCTGCATTACGCGAATACCATTATAGTATAACAAGACCAATTTATTTTCATTAATCAACTTTATAAGCTAATGATTTAATGGTTTAAAGTTATACGGTAAAATTTTTGTGATTATTGAGAAGTTTCGTGACGTTTAAGAATGTTTAGATTGTCAGATTATAAATCTAACCCAAAAATTGAGAATTGATTTTATGTGTCTAAAAAAAAAAAAAAAAAACCTTTGATCTCATGTTATCCTAAATCTAGCTTTAGGTTTTACACGAGAATCCTCTTCCAAACTCTCTTTGGGGGATCAAGATTCAGGAATTGCAACAACAACTATAATCACAGAATGGGCCAATTATCAAAAGCTATTTCATAGTCGCAATTATTACTAAAAACGACAAAACACATCATTCATCTGAATTAAAACAACAATTAATCCAAGGAAAATTTACGAAGAAATTAAGGCATGCAAAAGGGTCTTGCAATCAACCAGATAAGCAAACCCATAACCCATATTCTTCAACGTCGCCTGATGCAAATCCTCCGATGACGTCGCCGTACCATCCGTCGAGAAAAACACCCTGAACCCCCTCACGAACGCTTCCCTCGCCGTCGTTTCACAACACAGATTCGTCATCACCCCCGTTACGATCACCTCCTCCACTCCCATATCCCTCAGTCGTTCCTCCAGCTGCGTTCCCCTAAACGCGCTGTATGTGTTCTTCTCCACCACCACCTCCTCCTCCCGCCGCCCCAATTCCGCCATCAGCATCGACTCCGGCGTGCCGTCCATGATCAGATCGTTGTTCCACCACTCTCCGAGCATGCCGTAGTCGGCAGGAGACTTGTGGCAGTGGCGCGTGAAGATGACCGGAACGGAAGCACGGCGACATGCGTCGATTGTGGCGGTGATTGATGGAAGGATTGGTTTGGCGATGGCGGAAAAGTAGTTCTGCATGTCGATTACCAACAAGACGCAGGCTTTAGGGTTAGGGTTTCGAGCTCTGATTTGGTATTTTTTGTAGGAAGAAGCCATTGATGTGATACCATTCTAATCTGAATCCAAAATAAAATTAAGCAATTCAATATATGATAAGGTTTCTGGAAGAACATGCAAAATTTGGGCCCCACTTACAAATATGATTGAATTATTTATCATAATTTCGTTTTAATAAACAAAAAATTCGGAAACTTAAAATATCAAAAATCCGATACGTCTTTGAAGAAACTGTCGATCCAATTTGCATCGAAATTAATGGTATCAAGATCCGGAATAGGTCCTGGAATATCGATCGTCGACAACAATGGAGGAAAAAAACGACTATACGCAACCCTACGATCCCCTATCACCATCATCTTACTATCTTCTCTTGTTGTTGACGAAAGACAACGATAGGAATGTTGGGGGCATAGAAGATCGCAAGACGGGCTTTCTTTGATGATCTTTTTGGTTCTACGTTTTTTCGGTATTGTAGTAAAGAAGGAGAACATGTTTTGATCAAGATTATCGTTACCGTTAATGGGTCTTTTACGAGGTCTGCCACGACCGTGTCGAATCTCCTTCATTAGTTGATCTTTGTTGGGTACCGACAACTATATCGTAAAACGTAAAAAAAAGGTATATATATAAAAGAAAATTAAGATGAGAAAGTATTTATTGAATAATTTATGATATTTAAATATCAAAAAGTAAAATCAGATTCCGTACTTTTCGTGTTTGAAGAAAATATTACTACTTATTTAAAAAAAATACAATATTTATTGAAATCTAATTTTTTAAATGAAAGTATTTGTTGAAGAAGGGTTGGTTGGGTTCAAACAGAGTAATAGAGGGAGGTATTTTGAAAATTCCACTAATTGGAGGGCTTAAACGTAATTAACCTAATAACTTACTCCAAAATCAAACCCTTGGGTTTTACTGCCGAAACCCTCGCGCATCTTTCTCACTGCTTTCATGCTCACCGCCATGAACGCCACCTCTGTGAAGCTAGACGCAAACCCCATCACCTCTCCTCTCAGGTCTTTCGACGGCACTGGTAGGAACTATAGCACCACCGCTTTCCGTCAAACCTTTTTTCACCACCACCGGAGAAATGCTTCAATTTCATGTTCCGCTTCCCCGATCGTGAGCGTGGACGAACAGAGGGGTGAAACACCGACTCGAATAGGGTCACTAGCTCAGGTTTCGGGAGTGTTAGGTTGCCAATGGGGTGACGAAGGCAAGGGCAAGCTCGTTGACATCTTGGCAAAGCACTTCGACGTGGTTGCTCGATGTCAGGTACTTTCCTGTGATCTTATCTGTTTGCTTAACAGATGGTTTTGGATAAATAACTCGAGATTCTGATTTTGTGCATGTAAAGTAATGCCGTCAATTTCAACTTCAAGTGGACACAAATTATGTTAGACATCTGTGATTGGTTTATCGTATTTGTTCCAAGTTATACATGTTCTGAAGAACTTGTACATTGGTTACGAAAGCCTGGTTTGTGGAGAATGGGGCTGAATGAATTAAATTTACATTGTTGGCATTCCTTATGTTTTGATTATAAAGTTTCAACAAAGTACTAACTATTTTTATAATTAATAACAATTCTATAATTAACAAAAGTGTTGAATAATGATGATGATTGAGTTGTATTTTGGTCTCTCAGGGTGGAGCTAATGCTGGACACACCATCTATAACTCTGAAGGCAAGAAATTTGCACTTCATCTTGTACCATCAGGGATTCTTAATGAGGATACTATGTGTGTTATTGGGAATGGAGTTGTGGTGCATCTTCCAGGACTCTTTAAAGAAATTGATGGTCTTGAATCTAATGGGATCTCCTGTAAGGGAAGAATTTTAGTTTCAGACCGTGCTCACTTGTTATTTGATTACCATCAAGAGATAGATGGGCTTAGGGAAGCCGAGTTAGCTAAGTCCTTTATTGGCACTACCAAGAGAGGAATTGGGCCCTGTTACTCTAGCAAGGTCATCAGAAATGGTATAAGAGTGAGTGACTTGAGGCATATGGATACCTTCCCTGAGAAGCTTCATCTTTTATTATCAGATGCAGCTTCAAGATTCAAGGGATTTAACTATACCCCTGAAATACTCAGGGAAGAAGTGGAGAAATACAAAAGATTTGCAGAGAGGTTGGAACCCTTCATTTGTGATACGGTGTATTACATGAATGAATCTATATCACAGAAGAAGAAGATTCTGGTGGAAGGTGGTCAGGCAACTATGCTGGATATTGATTTTGGGACTTACCCTTTTGTAACATCTTCCAGTCCATCTGCTGGTGGAATCTGCACTGGCCTTGGCATTGCTCCTAGAGTCCTTGGTGACGTGCTTGGCGTGGTAAGTAAAAAATTGGTCTTTATTTTTTCTTAATTGATCCAAAAGCTATATAGGCCTATGTATAGTGTATCTATATGCATGCTCTATTATCTATTATCTATGTATAGTGTGTCTATATGTATTGCAGTTATTTATTATTTGCTTGAAGAAACTTTTCCTTTAGTGAATTTGATGTTAAAAAAAGCAACTCATCTGACCGTTGAAAGTAGAATATGAACATGTTCCGGGAAGGAGGGAGTGATAAGTTATAGTCTTTAATTGCTTTCTTGATGCAGGTGAAGGCATACACTACTAGAGTTGGATCTGGACCTTTCCCTACAGAAATATTGGGAAATGGTGGGGATCTTCTCCGCCTTGCTGGGCAGGAGTTTGGCACAACCACGGGTCGTCCTCGCCGCTGTGGTTGGCTTGATATAGTTGCTCTGAAATATGTTTGTCAGATTAATGGCTTTTCTGCTCTGAACCTCACCAAACTTGATGTCTTGTCGGATCTTCGTGAGATTAAGTTGGGTGTTTCTTACAAGCATACAGATGGCACAACCATCAGTTCATTCCCTGCTGATTTGAGTGATCTTGAGCAATCAAAGGCAAGTTCCATATTCTTTCTTTTTTTCTCTCTAAGTTTTGTTTGTATTTATCGTGTAGGATTTACAGGAAGGTAAGGAAAATTTCTCTCGTGCTAGCTGATTCCATGAATGATACTTCACAGTAGAAATGTTTGTATCTCATTATGCAAGTCTAATGATAGTGATTTTTTTTTTGTTTTGGAGGGAGTTTTCGCAGATATAAGGAACGTTCTTTTAGTTGGAAGATACATGTTTGGAAAAGAAAACTTGACTTTCTNGGGGGGGGGGGGGGGGGGGGGGGGGAAGGGGAGAATAGGGTGTGGGAATGAAAATGAAATTTACTAATGGTGGTATGGATGCAATGGAATGTGCGATTATCGGATATTGGGTAACAAAGCATTCCTCAACTAACTGCAGGGAATGAAACTCATTCTCATTTCCATTCCCTGAAACAAACCAAACGCCATGTAAAAGTTACTTTCAAACACTTACTTTTTAGTTTTGGCATGATGGAAGGGTATTTCCAGACATTTAACTAGTATTCTTGAATCCAAAAAATTGAGATGTGTGTGAGATTTGAATGCCTTTTGTTTCATTCTAAGATTTTTCATGTGTGTGTTTAGGTGGAATACGAAACTCTGCCAGGATGGCAGGCGGATATCTCTAACATAAGAAACTACTCGGATCTACCAAAGGCTGCACGTCAGTATGTGGAAAGAATAGAAGAACTTGTTGGTGTGCCAATCCATTACATCGGCATTGGTCCTGGACGTGATGCTCTTATATACAAATGAGACTGATCTCATTCCATTGCTTCCATATTTCTACCCTTGTCTTTGATTAAATAGGAAGGTTATTTATCTGATAACATGCACTGTTGATGCTTGGATTTTGTGCTGCGAAGCTGTGGTACAAAAAACTGGTGATCTGTGTTGTTTATGGTTTTGATGCAAGCAGTTGCTTCATTTGTCTTGTAGAACGTAGTGGAATAAAGTATGAAACTGCCCCATGTGCTTCTGGATTGTTTGAATGATCAATGCAGAAATGTTTAAATGGTGAGGATGATTTAAGTATAATATGGTTGCAGAATGAAAAATGATTGTTTGATAAGCGTTTTAAATGACATGTTTGGATGAAGTACGTTTGACACATCATGTTCTGAAAATAGCGTGCTACGACGATGAAATAGCGGACAGCAGTCCTGGCCAAAATAGCAGTGTATTATAGCGGTACCGCAAATAGCAGTCGCTATTACCGATTTTTCTATTGGACTCCTTTCCTTTTAGTTTAAATTATATTTAGGCTTTTGTTGTCTTGTTTATATGGGCTATTTAGAATTAGGGTTTCTTTATCTAAACACTTACCAGTAAAATTCAATGCTATCGTTTACTTACCGGATAAGATTTTATTCACTAAAACGCATCGTATACAACAATTTATCCCGCTAAGCGCTAACCATGATAAGAGTCATCGTCCTCACTCACTTATCGGGTAAGACTCTCGATTCTTGCCTTCGCTCTTATCGGGTAAGATTTTTAGTCCTTGTCATATTCTTCCAGTAAAGTATAGTGACTTACTAAGCGTTTCTCTAGGTAAGCGTTTCTCTAGGTAAGCGTTTCGTAAACGGCACCTTAGACTTAGAGGCCGTTTACCAAAATACTTATCAATGAACACATATCGGTAGGAGTCAACACTGTATTCTATTTTACCGGGTAAGATTATAGTGCATCAAAACGGTCTTATATGTAACAATTTACCTGACAAGTGTTTAACCAGGTAAGAGTTGTCACCTCCACTTTACTGAATAAGACTCCATTTTTATCATTGCTTTTACGGGGTAAAATCTTGCCCCTTTCCATGTTCATCCGGTAATAAAAATTACCTAATAAGCACCTACTGGGTAAGCATTTAGCAGGCGGCCTCTTAGGCTCCAAACAGAAAGGAAACCAACTCTAAATCAAAAATAAAAACAATCAAGTCTAACTTTGGCATCGATTGCAAGTTCAATATTTTAAGTTAATACATATTATGTATAATATTTTTACCGCTATATTACCACAATAACCGCGACTCTAAATCATTATCCCAACCGCTATTTTTGCAATCGACCGTGTTAACTGCTTAGACAATAAAGAAACACTGGTAAAACGGACGAGTGTGTAAAACTCTTACTTGATTTATCTCATTACATGAAACCATCGTTTCCATAAGAATATGTGGCAAAGATAAAACTGGATTCTATCAAAATGTTTGCTTCCAACAATTGTACTTGATATACATACATAAATAAACGATAGAAAACAAGTATCGTTTTTCTATGAAAGTATAATTTTTTTATATAGTAAACGACAGCCACAAAAGAGAATTCATCTAAAAAATCTTAGCAGATCCTTGTACTTAATTGAGTTTGTCTCATCCAACAACCAAACAACTAGCTGGTACCAAGGATGATAACGCTCAAGCTGCTACCCACAGCCACACAATCGAGGCTGGGCTGAATCTAAATACCTTTCACCCAAAAACCCTTGAACCCAGTTCTCATCTGTAGATGACTATGAGACCCGCTTCATCTGTCTTGCATCCGTTTGTAGGAACCTGCACACAGCAAAAACCAAGATAAATATGGATTCAGAAGTCTGATCCTGATAAGATGCTTGTGCTTCAAGGCTACACAGAATAATAGCACAGAAACAATTGGATACGTTAAACTAAAGCCACTGGTTGATGGGATTCAAGTGGCTGAAAGTTCTCCCAGCAATCTGTAATGACCGGAGAGCATCTTAGAGCAACCTCCTCAAGGGCACAGCTGGAACCAGTAGAGCAGGTCCTCAAAATAGAACGCTCATCCATGTGTGCAAATATCATGATACCAAAAGGCTCTAACCTTTTTGGGATTTTGGGCTTCCATGTATTTACCTGACTTAAAAGGGTTTTGGAAAGGACCAAAGAAGTATCCATAACATTCAAGTATTGTCTCACTTCTTTGAAGATAGGCCGTCTCTAAAAGTGGTTCTACAACTTATATCCCATTTTAGATCAACAGCAAGGGAAGTAGACAAGGGTATGGCTTGTTTCTCACCATTAAGATGGTGATGCATCATAGAAATATGTTAAGTTCATCGCTCATAACAGGGTGTGCATCTGTTTATGTTATTATGCAATAAAAGGGAAGACATTTCATTGACAAAACACAAACAAAATCAACTGTCTACGATAAAAGCAACATTTTGCATATATACAAAGTTACAAGAACCTTTTATTTTAGGTTGGGGCTTCCTTTGCATACGTTTCTCCATTTGTCTTTTAGGTCTATAGGTGTACGGCCTTTGTGGAACACGTTGCATCCAAAATCTAAGATCTCCTTCCAAGGAATTCCTTTATTATTAACACTTGAGTATCTCTGCACGCCTTCCTGAGAAGGTTGAAACGGTGGACATGGATTACATCTCTAGCAGTCGATCATCAATATAAACATATGCTAAATAGAGGTGCTATCTGTAATAACAAAATGAATGATATAATCCATCCATCATGTGTTCATCACCCATGATTGTCTACTGTAAGCATCTTAATATCACTCGCTCACTCAATATAATTGTGCACACAGATTGCGGAAGGTTGAGGCTCTAAGCATAAAAAAATATGTAAACAAAGAAACTAAATGAAGGTCTACATATTAATCCTCAGTGGCCATAAAAAAAAGATCAGGCATATTCAGAAACCCAAGTACCTTCAGTGTTTCTTCCTCTGATTTCGTCCATGGGAGTATTTTTCGCCTTGATAAAGGAACTGCTGAAGAGGTGCTACAAAATAAAACAAGAGGTTCATCAATTGTCATCACCAAATCTCAAAGAGAAATCAACAATTAGAATCAAGCATGAGATAAGTGTTTTACTCAGGTGGGGGAACACTAAATGTCAAGAAGAAATAGCATATTTGATTTATAAAGGAACGGAACTGCACAATACCAAGAGTTCTTCCCGACGAAAACAACTTACTGTTGCACTTTCCTCTTGCGGAGTCTTCTTGAGCAACTAGACTCAACGGACCTATGACTTTCTTTTTCCTTGCATTTCTGTTTTGGAGTACTTGGTTGGGGTATTGGATTCTGTGGCAAGTCGGTAGTTTGCTGAGTCAAGCAACCAGTTTGTATATGCTGCATATCAGCACATTCACCAATAACAAGATCAATCTCATTGCCATCGAAAGAGGGGGTCTTAAGTCCACAATCAGTAATAGCTTGCGGAGAAAGCTGATGTTCTTCCATCCTTGTAGGAGATTCGCACCCTTCGCCCACATTTTGCCTCACCTCTTCAGCTTCTGTCATACTTTGATCGGCTACGGACACCCCTTTATCTAGATCAGGTAACACGGAATTATCTGCACTGGCTATAACTGCTTCCTCTTCTCCACAAGACGGATCATCATTAACAATTGGCATCAAAGGATCAGCTCGGGTAGAATCTTCTTTAATTGACATACGATTTATGTTGTCAGCTCTACTGACAGTATCTCCATTGCCATTTCCATTGGTTGTTTCACCAAAAGCTCCCATTTCTCTGCCTTCATTTATCTCCAATTCACTGTGTTTAATACAGGACTTGTTTGGTTTACTGTTGACTGTGAAGCTAGAAAAAGCTTGTAGATTTTTTCTGGCCAGGGAAGCCTTTCTCTTAGCTTTCAGGTACTTGGATATTGCACGAGAATAAGCACAAAATGGGCAGAAGAACTCCCCATTTTCATCAAGTGTGACAGCAGAGCCCAAACAGCTCTCATGAACTCGTAATGGGCAGGCATCAGAACTACAAACTAACAACTGACCACCTTCATTACATTTCATACAAAGATTTATCTCTGACAATTCAGTCATAGCCAAGGAATCCTGATTGAGAGTGCATTGAGAGTTTAAAAAGGCTTCTTTCTTAGCAGCAATATCAGTGTTCTCGTCATCAGCTCTTTCACTATCAGTACTTGTTTCAAGTCGACCATCATGTGCCATGAAATTTTTCGCTATGCTGGAGGGTTCACCATCCAAAGCATTTGGTTGCGTACTGTTCTTGGGGACTTTATATTTAACAACAAACTCTAAATTTTCCATGCTATCAACTGGTACCCCTTCGTCATGTCCCTCCCTATGTGTATCTTGGGGCAAATTGTCATCATTACAATGAAGCTGCTTTTGATCATGCTGAGCATTAGCGACATCACAACTATGTAGAAGTGCCTCTGATGCAGCATGTGCATCATGATCCATCATCTTTTTTCCAGCGGCTCCTCCTAGAGGGGGCTCTATAACCATTTCACATTCTTCCCTTCCGGTATGCTGTGCAGTTCCTCCAGCAGTTTTTTCTACTTGATCAGCCCCTTGCAATACCTTTTCTTGAAATTTGTTTTTATCTTTTCTAGGGTTCAAAAAAGCTAAATCATCCTTAACTGAAGCTTGGACATTAGAATTGCCATCAATCCCTGGACTTGTATTTTCAGATACATTTGTGATTACTCTACTCCTTTCTTTCAATGATGCAAGAAGTGGATGACTACTTTCAAGAATCGCTTCCTTTAACTGTTTTATCAAGTAAAACACAGGCCAGGTAGCAATATGTAAATCAAACTACAACCCTTCTTTCCTTCTACCATTTGAGATATAGCAAAAAAAAAAAAAAAACTCTTGCTCACCTTCTTCAACATACATTTAGGCAAGTTAGACCTTTTATGCATTAGGAAAGGAAGAACATCCCATTTTTCTTTTTCCAATTTAGCCGGTGGTTCAGGTGTCTGCTACATTCACACACAAAAACAACTACATAAGTAGAAACTAGGATTTTCAGCACAATTATTGGACTCTCTAATATAATGCTTCCCTCCCTCCCTCCTTTTCCAGGGAATATCACCTCATTTAGTATCTGCTGAAGGACGTGTTCACAGCGTTCTGATGGATCAAAACTTATTTTAGTGCTTTGAGCAGAATCACCATCAACTATAGCCTCATTACCATGAACAAACAAGCTCTCCAAGATTCTCATAGAAACCACCTCCCTTGCATCTTTCCCCAGATCACCTGAGATCGCAGGAGCAATTTTCACTAGACCTAAAACATGGAAAGTATAATCAATCCACAGAAATATCCTTCTCTGCCAGGAAAAGATCATATACATAAAAGGTTTCCAGTAACGGAGGAAAAGCAAAATCGAGCATACCAATTAAAGTAGATGTATCTACTTGTTCAAAATTCGCTAGGGCTTCGATGACCCAATTCCATTGAATGGTTGGAGCAGTAGAACAGTTAGCAGCCATGAAGATCAATGTTTTAGAGTTTCAGTGAGTGAAATAATTGTTTATCTCTGTTCTCTTGTTCACGAGTCTAATTCATCTGTAAACATAAACGTAAAGCAATTCAGCACACTTTAACTTTAAGAAATCTTTGACATACCGTACCTGATTAAAAGTAATGACCCACAAGATACAACAAACCCTAATTAGAGAAGGAAGTTTCTAATCAGAATATTTACGCCAGCAAATATATATTCTACGACTTCAAACATGATATATAGACCAGTAAAAATAGAGAAAATGACATGTAGACTGCCCCAGTTCTACTCCAATGCTTTACAGCTCAGTCTTCTTAAAAAGTGGAAGTGCATCATTAGCAGTATATCAATATCTACTACATAAAAACTGGAAATGCCTTAAAATATATTACTGCAAAAACTTTTCATTTTCCATTGATTTCCTATAATAATACTTTCCGTCCTAATTTTATAAAATCCTTTTGGTTATTTAGTATTCCTGCATGAAACATTATTACTATGGAGTAGAAATTGAACTATTTGATGTCACAGCTACCAATGTTGATAAAATTACACTGGTCAAAATCCTGATTAGCATCAATTATCTCAATTAAAATGTATTTATCCATTTATCAATTTTCCTTATTTACAGGAAACTTCTTTTGCTGTCATCAGAATTGTATTCTGATTAGAACAGCAGTGTTGCTCAAATGCTCCTTTTTAACATCAATAACGATGTCATTTTATATTGTAAATTTCATTCCCTTGTCAAATTTTTCTTTCAATCCACTCTTAATGAATTTTACAAACCCATGCATCTTTCACAAACTCAAGTAAAGTGAAAAGACTTCATCTACATCCCATTTAGCAAGCCTTTCAGAGACACACAGATTCAAGAGCGTGTTTGGTACACAACGCAGCAAACTTATAGCTCTAGGAAAGAACTGGGAAGAGCTAGATCAACCGTTGAAATAAAATAATGAAGAATTGCATTTCAAATCTATATAGTTACCCCATTGACAGTCATAAAAGACATGATGTTCAGTTAAACTGTATACTGATACAGTTTCAAGTAGAGAGAACCATTGCTGTTTCTGATGTATTAGTAGTAGGCCATACAAATCATATATCAAATTCAGTAACCTTGGCAATTCCCCATACTTCACATCATCAAATACCAATTCTACAAGCATTATATATCATGAAAAATATTAAAAATAACAAAACTACCTCCGTCCCACAAGCAACAGTCCACATTCGAAATGATATAATGTTTAGAATATCACAAATCAAAAGTGATTTGGAGCGAGTAGTTCAATAAAGTTTCCACGAGAACCCACCACACTGGGAAAATCATGGAAGAGAAGGAAAAAGGTAAGCCTAGAAAAATCTTCCAAAAGTTATGAAATGTCGGCTTCTTTCTTGGAACTTGTTGCTTCCAATGGTTGTTTAGCATAACCATATAACTAAAGAAAGCAAGATGATCATAAAAGAACAGCTTGAATTAGTGAACAGCTACATTCAACACCTAAAGAATTTCACAGAACAAAAAAATTCCAAGTTTAAAAAAAAAACAATCGCAAGAATATCAGAAATTCAACATCTATGAATTCGCGTTTCCGAAATTGGGAAGATCGAAGAAAAATTCAAATTTGCAAAAAGAAAACCCAATAATAGGGTTCAAAATCTCACCTGTAAGAGATTGAATCAACGATAAATCAACATCCAGAGTACGAAGCTATCAGCGATAGAATGAAAGAAGAACGATAACATTGATTCACCATCTAGGGCTTGTACCGGAAGCATATAGACTGTTTTGAGAGAACTTGCCTCGAGAAATTTAAACCGTCCTCATTCTTGATAAATTGTATTTATCACCATTATTTTGTTTCTATGTAACTATTTACCCCTTAACTTTTAGCCAATAGCATTTTGTGCCCCTATACTTTGGCTTATCTTCTATTTTTCTTCATTTTGGAATTAAAATGTCTTAAGAACAACAGGGGTAAATCAATTTTGAGTAGAAAGAGAAACATTTTATGTCATTTATTATTATTACTAGATACACATCTCGATTTTAATGTTCTATTTTATTATAATACGCTTTTATGTGTTTTTAAGAAAGCAATAATGATTTTATTTTTGAATAAAATATAAATTTAAAAAAATATATATATCAATGTTAATATCAAATCAACTATTTGAAAATTCTCATTTTGTATATAATTTTTTTAATTATAATTAAATTTAAGTCACGTAAT